TCATGAGCCAGTTCCTCAGCTCTCCCACCTGGGCTAGGCTCGGCTTCAGGCTGAGCACTTGTACCTCTGACTCACGCTAGCACACCCAAACCTACGCCATGAAGCACACCAAGTAAGATTAGTGAGATTTTTGTAATAGCCATTTAGTATTTTAATGCTTATAGGAGCACAGGCAAAGTAAACAGAAAAGGTACTGAGTTGCTAACAATGCAAAATCATTACAGTGGTTACTTCAGCATTGGGATCTTCCCCTACGATCCAGGACAAAGACCATCCCGTGAAAACACCCACAAACCCTTGAAAGATTTCTGATGTGTGCACGACTGTTAAGTGTAAGTAATCATTCTGCAAGTACTGCCATTTTTTTTAGGAAATTCTCATTTAAAAACACATACTGTCATAAAGGTCAAACGTTTGGAGCTGAAACAGTCTGACCGCTTGCCATCTTTTTGGCAGCGCTTTTCCCAACACCAGCAGATAATAGGAGTGTAGATATGAACTAAATTGCACAGTGTATAACATTCCACATTTTGTCTAATAGCATTTTTCTGTTTTAATTGCATATTATTTTTCAAAAATTGCTGTGCAAAAAGAGGTTGCTTCTTCGAGCAGCATCCAGCAGCTTCATCCAGCAGCACGTGGAAAGATAAGACACAACAGGCAACCAAAAGGCAGGCCCACGAACAGTAATGAGAACGGAAATATCACTAAAATACAATGAATGCACACTACAATAATTGGTACCATCTGTGGTTTTATTCCTATCCCAGATCAGGAACAGAAATATTCCACTGCAAAGAGAGGCTGACAAACAGGATAAAACTGCTTGCAACAGACATAGCCCTTTCATGCCACATAACAACCCAACCAGCTTTTTCTTTGGGTTTTCCTTTCTGCTGATTCACAAGAAGCATTTGTATCTGCCATTAAGACACTGCTGCCAGAGGTGCAACCCAGCGTTTGTCATCATTAGTGGCTTACCTTCCATAGAATTGTTTCTGTCTTCGCTAACTGCTGCGATAAGGAAACAAGGACCTTTGACATAAGCAGGGCTGAATGATCCGTGCGTGGGCCATCTTCTGTTTGCTCGGTTCTACTTCCTATACAAGCGCAATCACCGTAGATTTAAATGCATCTTTGTGCCCGGCAGACAGAACACTGCAGTAGTAAGCCAACCACCAGAACAGGACATTAGAGGGCGGTAAGCACACTCTAGTACTGCCTGGCTTTATCCCAGCGATAGCCAAGGGAAAGGTAAAAACTTGTGCCCCAGTGCTTGTTGGTGAAAGGTTTCCATGCACATTCCAAAATAGTTTCAACCTAATTCCCTAGTTTTGAACAACCGCAGTGTGCAAGAGGCAGATTTAAGAACATACCACACCAAGTTGAACCACATGAAGAGTGCAAGGTTAACCGAAACCTGGAGAATTTCTACGACACAGTGAGAACATAAATGTTCAAGTCAGGCAGTAACTTGCAAAATCCAGGGCACCATAATTTCATGTGAGAGGATTTTTATTTATGAAAGCATGATTAAGTCTCCTTGCAATATGCACACAGACAACTCCTACTCCACCTATACCAGGC